AAGCTTTGTCGCCTATAAAGCCTATAAACTATTTAATCAGCAGCAAGGACCAAACGTTTGCCTTCTGGCTCCAAACATAGCAATCGCTGCGGATAACAGAAATATACTGAAACTTTACGAACCTTTTGCCTTGAAGAAGGCTCGTCAGACATGAGCGGCAAGGGTTATTCATCTGATTAACCATATTATTTCTTGCGCTGTCTATTGATAAACCGTATGCTATGCTGGCTGTTTTCAATAAAGTCTCAATACTTTCCTCATAAATTATTATTTTAATATTTACTCATTTTAAACATTTACCGTTGTTTGAGCAGCATACACCATTGACGCCATTTGAGAGCATGTTACAGCTGAAATCGGCTGGGCAGAACCCTTGATATCCATTGCACAGAAAGAGTTGTCGATCGTCGGTGAACATTGGCGCATGCCCTGGTTGACAGGCAGCTAGAAATCACTTGACGGTTACAGTCACCAACGTTTCGCGTATGATATGATCGTTACATTGCGCGGAGATTTTGCAGCAGTAGTAACCCTTCTGCTGGACACTAAATAGACACTGATAGTCAGATGGGCATTTTTCTGCTCCCAAAGGTGAGCAGGATCGAACATTCTGCGTCAACGCTTCCACATATGCCAAGGTTCCCGTGGGACACACACCTGTAATGCAGAAAATTAGAATGAATAGATTTCGATAGCCATAGACAAATTTCAAAAGGAAGGCCGCAAAAATAATCCTATCAGCGGAACTTTTAACCAAGAATAATATGGCCCGAGAATGAAGAAGAACAGCTTGCAATTCATTGGATGTCAGAAGATACATCGATTTTCAGAGGCCATTATTTTTTCTCATCCGTGGAATCAGCAACGTTAAAATAATTTTAATGCCTCCATCTTCTGCCAAATGGGCAAACACGTCTGTGTGAATGCTGAGGCGCGACAGTCAGGGGTTCAATGACCGGAGCCGTCCTGTTCTTATGTAATTCAACAACCTGTTTGCCCCACCAGTTTATCTTTCATCAATAATAGTGACTTAATGTGCTATTTCATTATGGCAGTCGTTCGTTATACCGTTCCTTCATAAAACCATATGGAAAAACGAAAATTTAATAGCCATGACTTAGATGTTAGTCTCCCTTGCACTTCAGTGATTGGCGGCATTTCTGACATTCTTCTACCATTCCGCTTATCGTGCTTATCCATTTCTGGGCCATAAACCAAGGGCACTCCTTTGTTTTTCTTTTTTAAGCCCTATATTTTCTATGCGGTGTCATGGCTTTCTGGTTTCCTTCTCATGAACTGGTACTGATGTATTTTCTACCTTCTATCTAGATGCAAGAAAGACGAATGATCTGAAGGTGACTTGAACACGATCATTCGATTGTGAGTCCAACGTTAAACCGACCAAACAAGACTGTCCTAAAGATTATGTCACGTAGCTGGAAGTATTTCCACGTCCTCAAAAAGGAATACAATAAGAGTTATGTGATAAGCGCCGATTTTAACCCTTATTTCCTTCGCACGTAGTGAAACTAATTTGTCTACCCTGAACAAATAATAAGCCA